ATCCGTAAGACAATACTCCTCTGGACAGGGGGTATGATTAAACAAAGCCATTAATTGAGAGAGTCGCTTTGGCAGCTCCCCGGATGCATTCATCTCTGGGCAGGCTCCACTTTGCCTCCTTGGGCCAGCCAGAACAGACTCTGCCTCCTCCCGCCGGCTCCACCCGCTCCCCCACTTCATCTCCGCTCTTGCAGAGCCCCTCAGTTGGGGCTGCAGACCTCGGCATCTCATCAGCGGCCGCTCTGCCGCCAGATTCCTGCTAAAGTGCCTTGATTGCATAATGTCTATTTGCATAATGTAAATTGCAATCTCCTAGCTCGGGAGGCAGGAATCACAGAACAGCCATTATTTTTTACCACTCCACAAAAATTCTACATTTAGAAAGCAGATTTGCAGCTCAGAAAGCCGTATAAATCTGAATCCGCCAGAAACGCCATTAAATCACACCAATTAAGCCGGACCAACGAAGAGCCCCTGTCACTGTTCTCTGCACACTCAAGGACTCCCAGCCCAGATGGAGGCCACGAGATACTGGAGGCTATGGCAGTGGGGCTGGGCACAGGAGCCGCAAGAGGCAGGGAATTCTGTCTTACAAACCTTAACACACCCCCCATAGGCCTTTGCAACTGCCCCAATCAAGATTTGGAGGAGAAAGGGCGAGAGGCGGGTAGAACTAGTGTGAGTTATTTCTGAAAGAGGACTTCAGCTACCTCCATTTCGATCTCAGTCTGTACTTCCTAACTGATTAAGTTCTTTCCAGCTCATCTCTTAACTCAAACGACCCTGTGCACAAAGCATCCCGTGATGGGAACCAAAACTACCCCCTCAAGCAAGAACAACTGTGCTGACACCAGCAAGACTCCTGTGATTGACCCCAAGACAGTGATGGACCTGACCTTTACCGCCCACCTGCGTGTACCCACCGACCTTTGTCCCACATTTTCCTTATGTTCTTATTTTCAGCATTGTGGAGCCGGTCTTTGAGATGCTGGGCCACTGTCTTCCTGGTGTTGGCCTCGCTGAAATAAATGCCTTTCTTATGTCACCACCGCTCCTCTCCCTGCCTGTGAATTTCATCAAGGGCCAGTGGCTGAACTCAGTCTGTTTGGGACCCCCACGCCAGGTGCTCTGGCACCCCTGTGTCCCAGCTACATTTCTTAAGCTCATCACCTGATTGGGGGTGGGTGCACTCACTGTCTCTAGACTTTTCAATTTGTGGAGCGGGAGATCTCGAATCAGGAAGAGGTCGGCACCTTTAGCAGAGGTAATGGAGAGATCTAAGGTGTTTCACACTTGGGCAAAACATCCATGCCTTTAGCAGCTCTTTAATGACTTTTCCTCTCTTCTCCCAAGTCCCCTCCAGCCAAGTGAAAGAAATGGTAGGAGAAATCCTGCTCACACTGGGCGGGGCTAGAATCTGAGCGCTCTTTACAAAGCTGTTTCCTAGGGGTCACTGGGGAGAGAGATGAGTCACAAGGTGCCTGGAAAGGGGCATATTCCCTCTGACAACTACATAAGATCCCAGCTTCCCTGCAGCCAGCCCTAAATCTGGTTACTCTTTTGCCTCTTTATTGCTCATTCAATATTCATTTGTCAAAGGGCAAGATGCTAATGTGTATTATTAAAATATCAATAGTTTATGAGTGAACTTTTATGGAGGATACAGTTAAAGGAGAGATTCTTGACCATCCCTGTCAGGAGCAATGGAGAGGGACAATCTTTCCAACTCCACTTTTTATTTATTTACTGGGTGGATGAAATGACTGAACCGTTTTTTGAGTAGCCATTGTGTGCCAAGAATGGCTTTAGTGCTTTCGCATGCTGGCTTCCCTCCAGTCCCCACAGCAGACCTGGGAAGCGTAGACAATCCCATCTCCATTCTGGACATGAGGGCTCTGAAGCCCAAGCAGATATGCCTGGGTCACAAAGGTGCTAAGCCAGGATCCAAATGCATTTTGGGGCTTCAGATCCAATCCCCCCACCTCCAAGTTGGAGCCTTGAAAATACAAATGATCTTTACGTTTTTATCAGTTCCTTCACTTGTCCAAATTAAACTTTAGTTTCCTGACCTACATTTCCCAACTCCAGCACCTTTTTATCAAAACCAAGCCCCCTTATCCCTCTCCTCCCTGTTCCCACCCTTTCAGCATTAGCCATTCTCATATCTCAGCCCTTTGGAGAAATGAATTGGTTGTTTCCACTCTTCTGTTGCTTGAGTTTTGTTTCTAAACTCCTCTTAAGTCACAACAAGGCATCCAGGCACTCAGATTCTCTTCCAAAATTCAGCTGCATCCATGTCAGTAAAATGACAAAGGAAAGGGGGTCTGGTCCCTTAATGGCACAGGTCATAATGTGTGGCAGAAGGGCAGGAAAAAGAGAGGACATGGGGATCAGATAGGAAAGGCTGCCCAGATTTCCCCAGTCCTCTACAGAGCCCCAGTAGCCTCTTAAGTCCTGATTTTTGGCTGAAACCTCCCCCAGCTTGGAAGGCCATTGAGTTGGGGGTGTGGGGAGCCTTGAATGAAGGCTCTAGGCTTGAGAAATCCTTGGTCACAGATCTAAGTGTCCCACCATACCTGGCACCTCAAGCTGTGAGTTGCAAACTGGACTACTTTTGCGGAAATGGACGCTAATATGGAAGCTTCCGCCAGCTGCAGGAACTCCGAACTCCAGCATGTCCTTGGGGCGTCCCGCTTTGGGAGGAAGCCTAGCCTGGCTTCTCGGGGGGAGGGTCTTTAAACCCAGACATTCCGTGACATGAGGGACAGTTTGATGCCCAAGGATGGGCGTTTCTTCAGCCTGTCTGTGGAAATTATGAGGCTATACTATGTCAGACTCGCCAGGTACCAGTCGTGGTAGATTGTGCTCTCCAAAGATGGTTGCAACAGCATATATCCCATCCCTATCTCCTCCTTTCATGTGCTGTTGACACTCATCCTTCGAGTCATGATGGCAGGGATGTCTATGTTCCCTTCTTTGAATTGAGGCAGGCCTGTGTAACTGCCCCACCCAAGAGAACATGGTGGAAGTAATGCTGCTTGACTTCGGCAATGCAGCTCCCACCTGGCTCTTGTTCTCATTCAGGGTGCTCCCTTCCTGGCATTCAGCCGCCATGCTGAGAAGGAGCCCAAGCCACCTGGAGCAGTCACGTGGGCCTGGCCGGCAGGCCCAGCTAACATCTCAGCCAACCGCTAATATTAGCCCCCCGAATTATAAGTGAATGAGCCTTCAGTTGATTCCAGCACCCAGCTTTTCACCTGCCTCAGCCGAGATCCCAGACCCAGCGGAACAGAGACAAACTGTCCCTATCGTGCCCTGTTTGAATTCCTGGCTCACAGAATATGCACATAAAAAACACTGTTAAGACACTAACTTTTGGGGTGGCTTGTTACACAGCCACAGTAACTGGAACACCGCTGGAATGAAACAGAATGTTTGCCGCTTCCCTCTCAAATCCAGCCTTCACAGGTCTTCACTCAGACTATTCCCTCCTCAAGTGGCCCCAGGCCCTCTGAGCCCACCCCCCCCACCTTCCTTCCAAAAGGCAGGGTCCTCATGCTCTTATCTCTCAATGCAGGTCCAAGAGCGTGTTCCTAAGTGAGGGGGCTTCCCCTGGACACGTGTGGGGGGCCCTCGGCCACAGGGAGGGAACATGCACATCTTTTCCCCCACTCTCCACTCTCATTAAGGTTCACGCTCAGCTTGCTTCTCTCATACTTGACTTGACTTATGAGGCCCCTTTAACCTCCAGTGCGAGGAGACAAGATTCTCACCAAGGTCTATCTACGCTGGCTCCCCCAGTCCCCGGCTGCATCTCCCAGGTAGGCTTTCCCGGAACAGGATGGAGGGAGGCACCCTTCCCTGCCCACCCCCCACCTTTCCCCTCCCACTGGGGCCCGGGGATCCGACCACTCCAGAGCCTGGGCTGTGGAGGAGGTGCCCTGGGAGCCGCAGCCCGTCAATCACAGAGGCGACCAGCACTGAATCGCAGGCCATTAGGCGGGAGGGCCGGCGCCCTGCTCACTCACCGGGCAGCCATCGGCAGGATGTTAGACGATCGCATGGCGGCCATTCTTATGATTTATTCAAATACTCATTACAGTCAATCTATTTTTACACAGAGGTGAAGATGTGCACTGATAACGGTTAATCATTTATAATTCCATGGACTGGTTGGAAGCCAATGTACTATCAAAGGCGCGGCAGCAGCCCAGCCTCCGGTAGCCCCAGAAGCGGGGTGGGGAAACTACATAGCCCGGGCGACCCAGTCTTCTGGCTAACATCTGCTGAGCAGAGACCAGGTTGAGGGTGCAGTGGGAACACGGAGACCCCGGAATCCCAGACTGCCCTCCAGGAGCTCACAGCCCGGCTGGGGGGCGCGCAGGAAGATGCCGGTCAGGGGGGAGGTTGCCATGTGAGCACAGAAGAACTTCAGGAGAGGGAGAAATCACTTCTAGCTGGACTTACTAAAGAAGGGTTCGTGGAGCAGGCTCGACTTAGGCTGGGTCCTGCAGGTGGGTAGACTTTTGCCAAGCGGGAGAGCCAAAATGAGCACGTGAGCTTAAGGTGGTGTTATCATTGCCACCAGCAGTGTCCCCCTTCCCCTCCCTCATGCCGCCCTAGAAATCAACCAGGTGTCAAAGCCAGTGTGGGCTTTCCCTGACTCCCCAGCTTAGCCCACAGATGACAATGGCTGGGGTCTGGGTTGGCCTTGCAAACTCAAGAGTTTCCCTCTCCAACACTCATGACACACATAACACATCAGGTCCACCTTAATGCACAATCAATAAAGTCTAATTAAATAGGATGTCATATTACAGGGCTTCTTTGTCACATTCAGACCTAATCTAATTAGAAGTCCACTGTATTTTACATTCTGACTAGCTCATTGTTGAGGATTTCTCTTGCACAATCGCATGACTGTTAAAGATTAGGTTCAGGGCTGGTCTTTAACCCGTAACCTTATTGAGTCAGCCTGGAAACACCAATCAAAGTTACTTACAGTTCACAGTCCCTTTTCTGGTGAGCGGCATGGAGGACAGAAAGCCTCAGAATCCTGCTCCAGACTTCACCTGTCAATAAAAGAAAACGTTTTTTATAGATGTGTATGATTCTGCTGAGTGAGAGCTCTGAGAGCCAACGTGGGATGAGGGTAAACTCAGGAGTCGTTCTGGCTCAGGAGCAGCACAGGACTACAGCTCTATTCCCACAGTCCTGAGTGGGAAAACTTCCCGATCCAGGCACTCTTGGTGCAAAATGATCATTGTTTAGACAGCTAACCAGGACAGAGAGAGAGGATCACTCCCTCCTTACCTGCTTGCTGCCTCAATTTCTTGCGAGTTTCATCCCCTTCCCTATAGGAATCCCGGAGAAAAACAGGCTCATGGCTGTTGAGAGCCCTGAGCTGACCGAGGCAATAATCATTTACTGATGCCTCCCGTCTGAAGGGAGACCCCATGCAGAGGGACAGAGCTGGACGGCCCCTGTGAAAGCTTGCAACCTACATGAGGAAGGCTGTGAAAAACTAGGAAACCACAAAGCCCAGGTTGTTGTTTATGGCAGGATTATGGAAAATCTGGATGGAAGAGAGAAATTTCAAGGAAAGGTGAAGAGTGCAGTTGGGCTAGATGGAGAAGAATGATGAGGGAAGGACTGGAAAGATAAAAAAATGTGACTGCTTTTAATTCTCTTTCTGGAAATAGAGCAACAACAACAAGAAAAACCCAGCACATGCTTATGAGTGTCTGCTCCGTGATCGACGCTGGCTAGGTGCAGCAGGAATAAAATCCCACGGATGGGTCCTGCTATGAAAATGCTGCCACGTCATTCGGGAAATAAGATTACCCATACGGAACATCACCAGATATTGTGCAAGACAAGGCTATATGCACAGTAGTGCTGAGCTGTGTGGTAGGGACTATAATTCTCTCTCCACAGAGAAATGAAGTTGGCGAGAGCTGAGGTGCTCAAGAAGTATTTGGGCGTAGGGAGAACTTGCATGGGGCCTTGGAGATTGGCAAGATTTGGCCAGCAGAAGGGAGCAAGAGGGCATTCGTGGAAAGGGAGCAATCCAGGCATGGATGAGAGGGGGGCAGCATGGGAGTGCCCTGGGACAAGGCAGAGGCTGTTTTGCCTGAAAGCAACCAGGAGAGACCAACACTGAATAAGCCAGATGGGGCCAGAGCATCTAAGGCTCTGAGTGTCAGGCCAAGAGGCCAGGCTGGGGGTAGGAGCTGGTAGAGAGCCATTGAAAGTTTTTCAACAAGGAAATGACACAAAGAAGAGGAACCCCCTTGCCCCGACCCCTCTAATAATATTTTCCCTTTAATTAAGACATGTATGAAAGAAGGACTGTGTTACACTAGACAATAAGATTAGGACTAACTGGTTGATGTTAGAGGAAGTCAACCTTCAGTTCGATATAAGAAAGAAGCCTCTAGCAATGAGAACCATCCAAAAATGAGCTAGGCTTCCTCAGAAGGTAGTGAGCTCCCCAACCCTGGAAGGAGAATCTGCACTGGGTGAGAAGGTGCTCCAACCACGGTCTCCCAGACATGGCTTCACCCATCTATGAAAGGTTAAAAAAAAATTAGGAGTCTGATAGGGTTGACAGACTTCTATATTGATAAAACATTGATACTGTCTTCATTTATCATCATTTCGTAAAGTAACTCAACCCCCAAAGTAAGGGGAGTAACAGGACCATTCTTTGAATTGAATAAATACAGCATCATGGAATGCATTCCCTCTCCCTCTCTTTCTGCCTCTCTCTCTTTGTCTGTCTGCTCTCTCTCACACATGCACGCACACACACGTGTGCACACACGTGTTAATATGTGACCTCTCCATGCTGTCCTTAGTTTTCACTCGTGATCCCGAGTGAAAAGTCTACTTTAACTGGCACTGATCCCGGACACATGCTGGGGAACCACCTATGCGTCATGTATTTTAGAGCCTTCCAGAGCCAACAGTGTGTGGTCCTGGCAGGCAAGGGTTCATGTCAAAAGCCTTCAGACAAGCAGCTGTGCAATAATAGGACCAGAATTTAAACTCAGGCCTGTCTTGTTCACCATGAAAATAAAATGGAACTATAAATGAGACTGACCACTCACATTTATAAATATGAGGAAACTTGTGAAGTGGTTAATGAGGAACGAGTTGTTGAATGTTTGTCTGGGAATGAGGTAGAAGAGGGACAGAACAAAGCTTCCTGCAGGAGGTAGCACATGCTCCAGGAGAGCTGAGTGGCACCCGTGGAGCATGCCCAGGAAAGCTGGAAGGCTGGAGAGAGATGAACTTAGGGCTTAGCAAGGGCATGAGTCTAACACAGAGAACACATAGAACATGAGTCTAACACTAGGCCTGGGGTGTTCACCAGACACGGGTTCACGCCCTCACTCTGTCATTAACTTACTGCGTGATCTTGGACAAGAAACTTTACCCCCTCCGTGCCTCAGTTTCCCCATAGGCAAAATGATATGGTTAGACTACTAGATAATCCTTAAACCGAAATTCCATCTGATATCTATATACCTGTGAGGTTGCCCAGACTAACCTGCCAGGGAGGGCTCTAAGTCTCATGCTAAGGCACCTCAGTATATCACCCTGGTTAAGAGTAAAGATGTGGGAACCAGATAGTTCTGGATTCAAACCTAGGTCCATCGTTAACCTAACCTTAATCTCTATAAACCTCAATTTTCTCCTGTTTAAAAGGTAGGGGGTTAATAGTAGCATCTTTAAAAAAAATTTTTTTAATGTTTATTTAGTTTTTAAGAGAGCGAGAGGCAGGGGGATGGGCAGAGAGAAAGGGAGACACAGAATCCAAAGCAGGCTTCAGGCTCTGAGCTGTCAGCACAGAGCCTGATATGGGGCTCGAACTCACGAACTGTGAGATCATGACCTGAGCCGAAGTCGGACGCTTAACCAACTGAGCCACCCAGGGGCCCCAATAGTAGCATCTTTAAATGAGATGATGCACCTAGAGCTGCCTGGAACATACTAATAAATGAGGATTTTTGTTGTCTTTATGTGTTCTGAGCTAAGGCAGGCAGCAACTGAATGGAAAAGGAGAATGAGAGGCAAATCAAGAAGATTGAGGCCTTCTGCATTTATCCCACTGCCCATGACAAGCTTTTCAGGTCTTGCCCCAGCCAGACCTTTGGGATGAGGACAAATTATGACAACCCATTCTGGGGCACCGAGAGTCTCTCTGGATGCTCTTCTTCTCTGAAAGCCCATCCACAGGCATAAGAGCAAAACTTCCAAGAAAGATAAAACGTGAAGAGACCACTCCGAAGGAAACCCTTGAAGGACCACCCATCCATCCAGACGGTGTGTCCCGTGTCTCCCCACCTCACTGCCGAGGCTTCTCTCTGTTCCACCTGTGCTCCCCCCATCACCCTCTCTGTTCCACCTCTGCTCCCCCATCACCCGGCAAGAGCTTCCAATTATTTATGTACACTTGTTGAATGAGGTTGTCAGTGACAGCCCTGTAGGCTCTGACCAGCAGGCTCTAAATCACACAATAACTAGGTAGCTGAAAACGGATAAAATTACCTGGCACTAAATACTTGGCTCTGAGATGCAAACCCCACCCCACCCCCGACCCCCACCAGCCCTCACTGAAGGTGCAGACTTTCTTGAAGCCTGGTAAGAGCCAATGCTAATGCCACACCTGTCTTCGGCCCCTTGGGCCATGGGCCGTGCTGGTCACCCTGTTGCAGAGGGAATGGAAGAACTCCCTGGGTCATGCTCCCCGGGCCTCTAATCTTGGGCCCATACCTGTAAGTACAGGTTCACATATAAACCCCTCTAAGGAATGCTGACCCTGGTGGGCTAATCCTAACGACTTTCATACACAGGAGAAGGACCCGGAGGCCCTCGTGACCTGTCTACATCCGATGGGAGTGCAGTGGGGCTTCCAGGGCGGCGGGGCCCTCTACAGAGGCAAACCCTCAGGAGCTACAGGACCTGCTCACAGGGCAGCCTCCCGGCCCCGTGGACATCCTCGGAGGATTGCTGATTCTCCATCAGGAGTCTCACTGCCCTTCTCCCCACGGCATCGTCGTCGACCTGCCTTAGGCCTTCTCTCTCTTCCAGGGCCCTAATTGGTCTCCCGGCCTCTAGCCTCACCCCATTTTTGCCCGTGTACCACCTCCCCTCAGCCTGGCATCTTTCTGGAACACAAATTTGATCGTGGCCACTCCTCCTTAAAACCCTTCCATGACGCCTCATTGTCTGACAGGCGTTGCCAACTGGCAGTCCCTCCATGGACTCTTGCCTGTCTGGAATTTTTATAAATTCCGCCAACATCTCAAAAGTGGGAAATTTCAAATTTTAACCATCTGTATTTCTAACTTTTCTCCAAAGGTCAGGTGACCTAACAATGCCAGTCCTACATTTCCACATGGCAATCACTAGACGATGCTGAGTATTGGCCACCTCCTTTCATAGTTTTTTATTTATTATTTACTTTTGAGAAAGACAGTGTGAGCAGAGGAGGGGCAGAGAGGGGGAGAATCTCAAGCAGGTTCCGTGCAGAGCCTGACACGGGGCTCGAACTCACGAACAGTGAGATCATGACCTGGGCCGAAATCAAGAGTCAGATGCTTAACTGACTGAGCCACCCAGGCACCTGAGTCACCCCCTTTTAATCACGCACGGGTCCTCCTGTTTCCCCTGAGGGAAGGCAGATGTCACCCTGGAAGTCTCTCCCGTCACAGGGTCAGACACCCAGAGGCTGACTTATTCTGTCTGCTGAAGAGGTTCGGGTTCAAAGTGACAGCACAGGGGTGGGTGGCTCATTATGTTCTCAGCTGTGTGGTGCCAGCGGGAGGGTGGATGACAGGATTCAGGAAAATATCAGCACTACCAGGCAGGCCCACCTGAGTGTCCTTCCCTCCCACCTGGGCAACGCCACTCCTAGCCTGGAGACAGACGGCAAAGGTCCTAGGGCGGTTCTCCTGGAATGCCAACGGCTACAAGGCAGGTGCTGAAGAAGCCCCGCCCGCTTTATTCCTGAGGCCCCACCCCTGGGTCCAGCCTCTCCCCACCCCGGCTCAGGAGCGGCCGTACCCCCTCCCTTTATTTCCATCCCACTGTTCCTATCAAAGCCCTAACAGCACATATTTTGTTAATTGTACAAACCTAATGGGGGAATGCATTGGCAAAAAAGGGTAATGGCCATCAGACCAGCAATAAAACAAAATTAATGGCCCATAGGAAGAAATCATGTCCACTTAATCCCGGCTCTGAAACTCTAATAGAATAATGGAATACCAACGGAGGGTTTTTTTCTCTCTATGCAGATTGCTTACACCATGTTAATCACTTGCAAAGCAGGCCACATACCACTCTGGCTCACATGACCCTCCAGGGAAAGTAGCAGACCAGAAACATTTAGTGCAAGGCTCATTACTGACAGGCACCACCACAGCAACACCTTCCCTCTCTCCCTCCTTCCCCCAGGTGACTCTGGGACAGCCGGTATGGGGTGTCATTGAGAGCCATGAGGCGTGGTGGGCCGGAAAGCAAGACACATAATACCTAATAATAGCAAACATTTATTGAGTGCTTACTATGTGCCAGACACTGGGCCAGCTAAGCACTTTCTATATACTGTATTACTGGATCCAATGTTCATCTTCTATCGCTGGCTGCGCAGTCTAACAAGGTAGCTGCCGGCCACGTGTGGCTTTTTAAATTCAAATCCTAATTGATTAAAATGAAATAAAATTTAAAATTCAGGGTTCAGCCTCACCGGCCACATTTTAAGAGCTCGACAGCCACACGTATCTGGTGGCTACTGTACTGGAAGGTTCACATGGAGTACGTTTCCGTCATCGCAGAACGTTGTATTAGAGCCTGCTCTAGAATACTGAGGCCATTTTATCTTGCTCATTTAACGGATTCGGAAGTCAAGGCGCAGAGAGGTGAGGCAAGCCGCCCAAGGTCATGCAGCTGAAATACGGCTGCGTTGGGTTCTAACCCAGCTCTATCTCACTCTGGCTCCAGAATCCCCAGCCTACCCACCACTTCCTGGCAGAACAAGCAGTCAAGCCTGCAGGAAAGTCTTTTGAGGGAAGTTAGCAGTAGAAAGGCTCTTCTGGGTTGTCTTCAGCACCCACCCACTCCCTGGCACCCAGAGAGCAGACAGACCCCCAGTGCTCCACTTGGGAGAGCCAGCTCCGTGGGTGTGTCAAACTGGGAAGGTCATCTGGAGAGAGGGAGGGCTTTACAGATCATCTAGCCCCACCTCCTTCAAGTTATGAATGAAGAAACCAACGTACAGAAAAGTTAAGTGGCTTGCCCAAGGTCAAACAGAATTAGAACTACAATCCAGGTTTCCTAACCACCAGTCTTCACTGGCCAAAGGAGAGGACCAAGCAATGCCCAGACCCATGTGCAGTCACAGGTGAGAGGAGGAAGAGGTGTCCCTCCCACCTTCCTGGAGAGTTCTGGGCCAGGTTGGAAGTGGCTGGGATGAGTTTGAGGGTACTGGGCTCTGAGGAAAAGCAGGAAAGGAAGAAGGGTGGGGACAGTCAGGCCTAGAAGATGTACTGGTTAAAAGCATGACATTGGGTCACTACTATCTTTTGGGAAAATAGTATATGGAATCTACTGTCATTGAGAATACACTGACTGACCAAGCAGCCCCAATTTGAGAATGTATCCTACAGGGAAAAAGTGGCAGGTGCACAGGGATAATGTGGCAGCATCTATCGTGGGGAAAAGTCTAAAGCAACATGGATGTCCACCAATAGGGGAATGGCTGGATAACTCCTGGTACAACCATACTGTAAATACATGAGGGCATTAAAAAGAATGAGTTCGGGGCGCCTGGGTGGCGCAGTCGGTTAAGCGTCCGACTTCAGCCAGGTCACGATCTCGCGGTCCGTGAGTTCGAGCCCCGCGTCAGGCTCTGGGCTGATGGCTCAGAGCCTGGAGCCTGTTTCCGATTCTGTGTCTCCCTCTCTCTCTGCCACTCCCCCATTCATGCTCTGTCTCTCTCTGTCCCAAAAATAAATAAATGTTGAAAAAAAAAATTAAAAAAAAAAAAAGAATGAGTTCGACCGACACCTTTTGCCAGGCAAAATGGCCATAACGTTCACAATAACAAAAGTAAGTAGCAGAGGATGTGTGTGGAGTGATTCCAAGTTTATAAAAACAGAGAAAACTCTAGGACGAGTTGATCCCTTTGCATGTGTTGGTGTGAGCACGGAGGCAGCATGGAAGGGGTGGCCCAGGGTGTTCACACTGGTGCAGATGGGGCACTGGAAAGACAGGGACGAAGGCACACCGTTTTTAGCACATCTTAGCCTTGTTGCCGGTGCAGGGAGCACCGTCACTTCTGTAATTTTTGTGAAGAAACTTAATAAAGGAAGAGACAAATATTTGACAAAAGAAGAAAAAAAAAGAGAAGTCAGATTCCAAACCTGCCTCACTCACTAGCTTCACAGCCTTGGCAAGTTCCTTAATCTCACTCCATCTTGATTTCTTTGCCCAGAGACTGATGATAATAGTATCATGTCATGAGGTGGTGGGGAGACTGGTGGGAAAATGAGTTTATAGCTGCTCGACAATTGGGGCCTTTCTATCAGAGGGGAAAATCTGCCGAGTACATGGAGGGACTTCCTGGGCCACCTCTCCAGGGCGGTCTGAGAGCCATGGCCAGGGCTCCCTACACACCCCTCAGAGCCCCTATATTTTGCCATACAACCATTTCATCTATTTATTTTTATTTTTTGTTATTTATTTATTAAAGTTTATTTATTTATTTTGAAGGAGATAGCGGAGGGGGGTGGGGGTAGAGAGAGAGGGAGAGAGAGAATCATGAACCGTGAAATCATGACCTCAGCCAAAATCAAGAGCCAGGTGCTGAACCAACTGAGCCACACAGGTGCCCCTATTTATTTATTTATTTGTTTGTTTGTTTATTTATCTTCAGAGACAGAGAGAAGGTGAGAGCACTCATAAGTGGGGGAGGGGCAGAAGGAGATAGAATCCTAAGCAGGCTCCATGCTCAGAGACGTGCTTGACATGGGGCTGGACCCCACAACTGTGAGATCATGACCTGAACAGAAATCAAGAGTCAGACACTCAACCAACGGAGGCACCCAGGAACCCCCTCACCCTCCCATGTCCCGCGGTACAAGGATTTTAATGCGTCTCTCTGTCTATCAGACTGTAAGATCTTTACAGGTAGGAATAGTGCCTTGGTTATTTATTCATTCATTCAATCATTCAAGTTAATAACTTAAAAATTATGTCTTAGGCATGTGTACCTGCACTGTGCCTGACATCAAAGATACAACAATGAAGAAGACAGAAAAGTCTCTGCTTTCATGGAGCTCACATGCTAACGGAGGAAACAAACTACTTATACACACGTATATAGTCCAGTGGTGATAAGCACTAGGAAGAAGAATGCAGCATGACAAGGGAGCAGAAGTGACTGGGGAGGGGACGGGGACATTTTAGAGAGAGAGGACAGGAAGGAGCCTCTGAACCTCTCTGGGAAAGCGTCCTTTGAGGCACATGCCACAGACCTGGTGAAGCCAGTGGTTGCATTCAAAAGATGTTAGTTTAAGGGGCGCCTGGGTGGCTCAGTCAGTTAAGCATCCGCCTTTGACTCAGGTCATGATCTCACAGTTCATGAGTTCAAGCCCCGTGTCAGGCTTTCTGCTGTCAGCACAGAACCTGCTTCGGATCCTGTCCCCCTCAATCTCTGCCCTTGCCTCTCTCTCTCTCTTAAAAATAAATAAATAAACTTTAAAAAGGTATTAGTTTAAGAATAAAATAAAGGGGCGCCTGGGTGGCGCAGTCAGTTGAGCGTCCGACTTCAGCCAGGTCGCTATCTCGCGGTCTGTGGGTTCGAGCCCCGCGTCGGGCTCTGGGCTGATGGCTCAGAGCCTGGAGCCTGTTTCCGATTCTGTGTCTCCCTCTCTCTCTCTGCCCCTCCCCTGTTCACGCTCTGTCTCTCTCTGTCCCAAAAATAAATAAACGTTGAAAAAAAAATTTAAAAAAAAGAATAAAATAAAAATAGGCTGGTGGGAGAGTGGAGGATAATTAAGACACATCAAAAACATGCCTCCACCCAAAAGAACTGAAAGGGGGGACCCAGATGTTTGCACATGCCTGTTCTTAGCAGCATTACTCATAAGAGCCAGAAGGTGGGAGCAACCATAGTGTCCGTGGACAGATGAATGGAGGAACAGAAGCATTATATGGATACTGACATATCACTGAGCCTTCAACGGAAAGCCACATGGATAAACCTGGAGCAATACGACGCTAAGTGAAGCAATCCAGTCACCAAAGGACAAAAACTGTCTGATTCCACTCACGTGAGGTACCCAGAGGAGTCATATATGTAGCGATGGAGGGTAGAATAGTAGCTGCATGGGGCCGGGAGGGAAGGGAGAGGCAGGGTTAGGGTTTAACAGATACCAGGTTGTAGTTTTGTAAGATAAAAAGTGTTCTGTGCATAGATGGTGGTGATGATTGCACAAGACTATGAAAGTACTTAATGCCACTGAATTGTGCACTTAAAAGTGGTTAAGATGGTAAATTTTATGTGATACGCATTTTACCACAATTTTATTTTATTATTTTCAACGTTTATTTATTTAGGGGGGAGAGAGAGAGATAGCACCCACTTAAGTGGGGGAGGAGGGGCAGAGAGAGACAGGGACAGAGGATCTGAAGCAGGCTCTGTGCTGACAGTAGAGAGCCTGATGCAGGGCTCGAACTCAACGAGCCGTGAGATCACGACCTGAGCTCAAGTCAGGCGCTTAACCAACTGGACCACCCAGGCGCCCCTATCACAATTAAAAAAAATACACACCACCACTAACTTCTCAGAAAAAAAAAAAAAGAGCCCAGGATGTTAAAGAGCAGGAGGAGAAGCAGCTGACAGCCAAGGTGAGGCTAAGGGAGCCCAGGGCGGACAGAGAGAGCAGGGAACCCCAAGTCTCTGAGGCCCAGGGGAGAGAATGCAGAGGGGAGGCTGCCAGGCAGAAAGGGACAGAAGCTCCCAGGCCAGTCTGCTGACAGGAAAGGCAACTTTCCTGTGGAAACGTCTGAGCCAAGGCGATTCCAGAGTGCCGGTACTGGATAAATGAGACACAATTTAGGGTAAAAAAGAAAAGAAAAAAAATGTTTTTAAACTGGTGGGAAGTAGGAAACAACTGGTAGAGAGTTGGGCCGCTCTCTAGCTTGAGATGAAAGACAGTCCCACGAATCCACTGCAGGAGATCTAAAAGGGAAAGGGAATAAGAAGCTGAGAACATGATGAGGGGTTTGGGGCCCTTCACCCGATGCAGCCGTGGGCAGCTTGGTGTGTTGGAAAGCATCTTAGGGCCCAGGAGACAGTCCTATCTTTGTGCCCCTTTGACCTTATGGGGTCTTTGACCTTGTCTGGGCCTCAGTTTCTTCATCTACTGAACTGAGTGTCTAGAACAGGGCAAGAGGAATCTTACATTTTTAGGGGTCCACAAACCCCTTGCGATTTATCCAGAATGGCATTTGTGTGTACATTTTTCTATGGAGGGATTTATACATTTTTACCAAGATTTCAAGGCTGTCCGTGTTCCCAGGAAGGTTAAGAATTGGCTCACATTAAGCTAGAAAGTTCTAAGCTTCCCAGAAATCTTGAACTGGACACCAGTAAATACTTAGGCCTCAAGTAAATCAAAATGTTTATTCCTGCTTTGCCCGCAACACAGAGATATTGTAAAAACGAAGCGAAATAATTATATATTCCGAAAAGTTAAAATTATTTCTCTCATGCAAGTAACTATGATGATCGTTATTGTTGGAGTGTTGCAGAAAGAAAGAGTAGCTCTAATTCTGTGTCTCCCTCTCTCTGCCCCACCCCCGTTCATGCTCTGTCTCTCTGTCTCTCAAAAATGAATTAAAAACATTAAAAAGAAGGGAAGGAAGGAAGGAAGGAAGGAAGGAAGGAAGAGTAGTTCTGCAGCAGGCATAAAGGGGGCATGATAAAGGGACGTGATGTGCTATGGGCTGACCCTCCTCTGGTTAGAAATGAGGAGGCCCTCAATTCCCCTTGTGGAGAGGGGTCCAGGCCAGAAGGAAGCGTATATGCAGCCTACCCAGGAGGGACAGCCTAGGGCAGAACAAACGCATCTCTTTGGGCCGAGAAGCTCTCATTTTGTGTCTGGCTTTACTTGGGAGGGAACTTTGAATTGTGTGCCTGAGAAAAGTGACAGACTGAGGATGGATGCGTCAGGGGAAAACAGCACAGGCAGACTGGCCACCAGAGAGCAAGACACAGACTGGAAACCTGTGGAATGACTAAGCTAGTGTCACCAGGGCAGAGGGGACCTCAGCCACAATGGGGAGCGCCTATCCAGAAGGAGCCGGCCCAGAGGCAGTGGGAGGGCCGGTTGTCAGAACCGCGCACGGTTGCACCTGGATGGAACCTTAGACATTATCCATTCCATCCTCCTGATTTCATGTCTGCAGAAACGGATTAGGAGAGGGGTGACACTTATCCACACCAGTCCAGGATTGAAAGCCAGCCAGTAGCTCCCTTCATTCGTTTACAGAATGTGTTTTGAGTGTCAGACCCTTTGCTAGGTTGGAGATCAATAACGAGCAACAAATCTATCCCTCTCCCCTCAAGGAGTCCATAGTCTAAAGGGAGAAACAGACACCGGTTGCTTGAGGGGGTAGGTGTCATCCAGCATGTTAAGTAGGGGCCACAGATGAGGGTCTCCCCACTTCAGGCAGGTACATCCAGACAATGGCAAGATGGAGGGTCAGCCACTTCCCCTCAGGCCAGTCCTGGAGGCAGTGGGAATATTCACCGTAGAATCCAAGCCAAGCCAACAGACAACTACATGTCAGAAAAGAGTGCCCACCATGGCAGCCATCGAAAGAAGACTGTCTGTGCGTCTCTCCCGGGGGAAGAAAGCCACGCACTCCAGCAGGCCAGCCACAGGCCCTGGTGAGCAGGCCTCTCCAAACAGCACTTCCATTCATTACTTCCTAACTCGCCTCGGGGGGCTGGTCCTGAATATTGTTTCATAAATAACTTAACAGGGCTCCAGCTTGTTTAACTGAGGTTAGGCAGATGTGCACAGCACAGGCTGATTATGAGGGAATTTGGCTGTG